ATAACTAATAATATACTAATAATAACTAATAATAAACTTAATAATAAAACTAATACTACAACTCATTCTATAACATTATTATAGATGCATCAACATCGTAATTTCAGTCATCAAAAGCATGGGAAATGCACCAATCAGATGATTTACACTAATCAAAACAAACGATCTTTTTGATCTTAAAATCATATATAAGAGATTTATTTTGTTTTGATTAAAAAAAAATGGCAGAAAATATTTTGGAATTATATCGCATAAATAGCACTGTGTGCACACTATGTATTAATATAATAAATAAAATAATTCATGATGGCGGCTCTCTCCACAAAGGCTCCCTCCACAAAGGCTCTCCTACAGAGGCTCCTCCCAATGAAGGTTCTTCTAACAGAAGCTTTTTTGATAAAGATTCCCCTGATGAAGAATCTCCAAACAAAAGTTCCCCAAGCAAAGGTTTACCAAAAGCTTTCCTGAATGAAAGTCTCCCAAGCAAAGGTTCACCAAAAGCTTCCCTAAATGAAAGTCCCCCAAGCAATGGTTCACTGAATGCTTCTTTGAATGAAAGTTCCTCAAGCAAAGGTTCACTGAATAAAAGTCCCCAAAGCAAAGGTCCAAGCAAAGGTCCAAACAAAGGTCTATTAGGACCGTGTTTTTATTGTAGAGGTGCTCACTTGCTTGTACTTTGTTCAAAAATTCATCCCAGCCTAAGAGGTTGTTGTATAAAGTGCTGGTCTCCAGAACATACTGTGAAAAATTGTTCTCTCCACTATGCCCTTCCCCAACCACCTATGTAGATACACGGGTAATTAAAAAAAAAAAAAAAAAAAAGTAGGTATACGGGTAATCAAAAAACAAAAAAAAAAAAAAAGTAGGTACACGGGTAATTAAAAAAAAAAAAAAAAGTAGGTACACGGGTAATTAACAAAAAACAAAAAAAAAAAAATTGTAAACGGGTAAATAGACCTAACATTAAATGGATGGTTAGGATAGGATAGAGCGGGGTTGGGGCTCTATCCATTTTTTTTTAGCATTTTAAATAAAGTATCAGTTTTCGCTAATAAAACTTCGTTTTGAGTATTTTTAGTAGAAAATGTTTTCTAATCGTTTTTAATCGCTTTCCCCGACGAGTTTTCATAAGAATAAAGGTAGTTGAGTTTTTACGCGTTTAAATTATAAAGTCAAATATTAGATTTATAGATTGTTAAATCGTGAATATAATATAAGATTCTATGCCTTTATTAAATATGCTAAGCAATATAAAACGTTCAACAAAGCTTATTTTACAACAAAAGATCTCTATGTAGTAATGATTAATAAATAAAAAAAAGGTTTCGCTTTGGTTAATACAGTAATAGTAGTTATTTCGTTCTATTCTGCATATTGAAATCTGAGATGTAAAATTAAATATAGAATTAGACGTAGAATTACAGAATTAGACATACATATTTAAATTAATCTTACTTATCTAACAATAACATAGTTGAATTGAAAACCGGGTCAATTGAAAAAGTTACCATCCTAAACTTTGAGGCACCTGATAAAAATTAGCGAATGGTTTTTGGGCGGATTTAGTTAAGTTATAGATTCAATGTGTATGTAATTTAAGATTAGATCACACAAAGTTAAATTTTCGTTTTGCATTACCCGTCGACCAAATTTTTCAAAAACTCTTTTTTTCTTTTACCATTAACAATTTGGTTTAA